AGGTCTCTGACATCACCCCCGTCTTCTGGTTGTCCCTCAGCTGGAGAGTAAACGGGATGCCTTCTCGCCGGTGCTGCTGCAGTTCTGTACAGACCCTCGAAATCCCATCACCGTGATCCGGGGCCTGGAAGGCTCCCTGAGGCTTAGTGAGTTTGGGGGCCAGAAAAGTGTGGGGAGGGATATAAGTATCCTCTGAGAGGCCCCCACTCTTGAGGACCCAGGACGGTGACTGTAGTGAGCACATAGACCATTTTTGAAAAGTACTTGACTGATGGGTCAGCTGAGCATCAGTCTGTCTCCAGCAGTGGATGAGTGGGACGGGGTATGTCGTGGCTTAGTTAGAATCACTTTTGGTGTGCTTGGTGATTAAACATGAGGAGGATACAGACCGCAGATAGCCCCCGCGTGGTTTGGGGCACTTTGCTTTTCAAACCTTTATTGTGCAAAATTGCAAACAGAAAACCATATAGAAGTGTAAGAAGCAGACTTGTTTTCTTTATATCCATCTAACGTCCTTTCCTCCCACTGAGTTATTCAAAGCACTTTCTAGGCTTTCACTTGAATAACTCACTGGATCCAATGATAACTGTAAAGAAATTGCTGTTCATTGAACAGCAGGTGACAGTGCCAGGTGCTGAGCACAAGTGGGCTCATGCACACCCGAGGACCTTGATGGAGGGGTTGAGGCTCTGAGCAGCAGTGAGAGAAAGGAGGTTGGTGATGATCCGGATAGAGGCTAAAAACCTGGGACCGTCAATGCTCACAGCTTGTACTTCTGGGCTAAGCGCTGCTTTGCCTGCATCCACCCTTTCAGAGGCTTGGGGAGTAAGAAGGGACAGGATGAATTGGGTCCTCATTCTCTGTCCTCTGCCCCTGCCCAACACCTTGCTGGCCCTCTCTTGCAGACTTGGGCCTCTTCTCCACCAAGACGCTGGTGGAGGCGAGTGGCGAACACACTGTGGAGGTGCGCACCCAGGTGCAGCAGCCCTCAGATGAGAACTGGGATCTCACGGGCACCCGGCAGATCTGGCCCTGTGAAAGTTCCCGTTCCCATACCACCATTGCCAAGTATGCGCAGTACCAGGCTTCATCCTTCCAGGAGTCCCTGCAGGTGAGAGGCAAGCATGGGCAGAGGCAGGGATGTGGTGGGTGGGAGGGCTCCTGGAAGATCACTGACCTGGGTCTGCCTATCCCTGTGGCCAAGCAGGAGGAGAAGGAGAGTGAGGATGAGGAGTTGGAGGAGCCTGACAGCACCACAGGAACCCCTCCTAGGTATGCTACAGTTTTCCCCTTTTTCTTCATCTTTCCTTCCCTGTGACCCTCCACCAACCTGTGCTCTTCACCCTAGCAGCAGTGCACCAGACCCGAAGAACCATCACATCATTAAATTTGGCACCAACATCGACCTGTCTGATGCGAAGCGGTCAGTGCAGCTGAAGCCAGCAGAGCTGGGGCGGGAGTGCTAAGAGGTGGGCAGAGTAGGGGATAGCCTCTCACTTCGGTGCACCCTGTAATTGCAGGTGGAAGCCCCAGCTGCAGGAGCTGCTGAAGCTCCCTGCCTTCATGCGGGTAACATCCACGGGCAACATGCTGAGCCACGTGGGCCACACCATCCTCGGCATGAACACAGTGCAGCTGTACATGAAGGTCCCTGGCAGCCGAACACCAGGTGCGTCCCTGGGCTGGTGGCTGGGCTGCTCTGGGATTCTCCCCTCAGCCAATGAGGGCAGAGGGGGGCTTGTCCCTGAGCACAGGCTCAGTCTGATCTGTCACGCTATTCTCTGTCTCCCCCTTCAGGCCACCAAGAGAACAACAATTTCTGCTCTGTTAACATCAACATTGGCCCAGGTGACTGTGAGTGGTTCGCAGTTCATGAACACTACTGGGAGACCATCAGCGCCTTCTGCGACCGGTGTGCACCACCCTCCCCCCACCTGCTAGATACTCCCCACATCTGGTTCCTGGGTCCCCAGGTTTCCATTTGACCCTGTGGCCACCCCACAGGCACGGCGTGGACTACCTGACGGGTTCCTGGTGGCCAATACTGGATGACCTCTATGCTTCCAATATCCCTGTGTATCGCTTCGTGCAGCGCCCTGGAGACCTTGTGTGGATTAATGCCGGGACCGTGCACTGGGTGCAGGCCACGGGCTGGTGCAACAACATCGCCTGGAACGTGGGGCCCCTCACCGGTGAGAGGGTGGGGCTAGGTGATGGGCCCTGCTTCACCACTCAGCAGTGAGGGAGTAGGGGTTCTGGGGAACCAGCCCTCTGGGGAGGTGAGCTTGGGGGGCAGCCAGCTGTGAGGAAAGGAGTGGGGCCCAAACAGCCTGGGGGCTGTTTGAGAAATCTTTGGTGACCCCCTCTGGCCTCCAGCTTATCAGTACCAGCTGGCCCTGGAACGATATGAGTGGAATGAGGTGAAGAACGTCAAATCCATTGTGCCCATGATTCACGTGTCCTGGAATGTGGCTCGAACAGTCAAGATCAGTGACCCGGACTTGTTCAAGATGATCAAGTGAGGACCCTTTTGGGGAGGGAGCCCGATGCCACCAGACCAAGGTCTTCTGGCCCTTTTTTCTTCATGTGTAATTCTTCTCCATTCTCTGCCTGTCTCTTCACCTTTTACCACGTGCCCTGAAGTGTTCCTGTGGTGGGGTAGCTTACAGGAATCCTGCTTTGGGAGGCTTTATTTTTCGATGGTTCTAGTAGGCAAAAACCGTGTGAGATTTCAAGTGTGACAGATGCCTATCAGGAAGGACATGACCTGGGTGTGAAGGGGGAATCTCGTTAAGTAAGGGCTCTGCTCCGCTCCCCCTGCTGGCAGCCCTGTCTCACCAACACCTCATCCTGCACGCAGGTTCTGCCTCTTACAATCCATGAAGCACTGCCAGGTGCAGCGGGAGAGCCTGGTTCGTGCTGGGAAGAAAATTGCCTACCAGGGTCGGGTCAAGGATGAGCCTGCCTACTACTGCAATGAGTGTGATGTGAGTGGACCCACTCTGGCTCTTCCCTTCCTGTAGGGAGGGACCAGGCGGCCCTCCCATCCCCCATGACTGTGCCTTCCTTGCTGTCCCAGGTGGAAGTGTTCAACATCCTGTTTGTGACGAGTGAGAATGGCAGTCGCAACACGTACCTGGTACACTGCGAGGCCTGTGCCCGGCGCCGCAGCGCGGGCCTCCAGGGTGTAGTGGTGCTGGAGCAGTACCGCACGGAGGAGCTGGCGCAGGCCTACGACGCCTTTACGCTGGTGAGAGCTGTTGGGAGGACAAGGGTACCCCTGGGCCAGAGGTGGGGGTGGGGCACAGAGTCCCAAACTGTGGGGCCTGTCCACCGGCGCCCGTCCCTAAGTCCACTCTCCGCCTGCTTTTTTTTCTCCCCCCAGGCCCCTACCAGCGCGTCTCGATGAGGCCGGATGCCCCGCCCGCCTGCCCGCCCGCAGGGCGCCGCGGGGCCACCAGCACACAGCCTGGGCTGGACCTAGGTCCCGCCTCTGGCCGGGAAGGGGGTCGGGCCCAGCCCTTCCACCCCATTGGCAGCTCCCCTCACTTAATTTATTAAGAAAAAAATTTTTTTAAACAAATATGAGGAAAAAAGGAAAAAAAATGGGAGACGGGGGAGGGGGCTGGCAGCCCCTCGCCCACCAGCGCCTCCCCTCACCGACTTTGGCCTTTCTAGCAACAGACACAAGGACCAGGCTCCGGCGGCGGCGGGGGTCACATACGGGTTCCCTCACGCCTGCCAGCCGCCAGCCCGCCCGGCGCAGATGCAGGCGGCTCGTGTTGTACATAGACGTTACGGCAGCCGAGGTTTTTAATGAGATTCTTTCTATGGGCTTTACCCCTCCCCCAGAACCTCCTTTTTTTACTTCCAATGCTAGCTGTGACCCCTGTACATGTCTCTGTTTATCCACTTGGTTATGATTTGTATTTTCTGGGATTTTTGTTCGTTTTTGTTTTTTTGTTTTTGTTTTTTTTTTTTTTGGTTTTTAATTTATAACAGTCCCACTCACCTCTATTTATTCATTTTTGGGAAAACCCGACCTCCCGCACCCCCAAGTCATCCTGCCCGCCCCTCCGGGGACTGCCCGCCGCCGGGCTCTCCCTGCCCCCCAGTGTGTCCGGGCCCGGCCCGTCCGTCTCAGCCCGTCAGCCCGCCTGCGGCTACAGCCGGGTTCTCATGGTGCTCAAACCCGCTCCCCTCCCCGACGTCCTGCACTTTCTCAGACCAGCCCCCCCCACTCCCGACCCGACCCCAACCCCGCCTGAGGGTGAGCGACTCCTGTACTGTAGGGGAAGAAGTGGGAACTGAAATGGTATTTTGTAAAAAAATAAATAAATAAAATTTTAAAAATTTAAAAGTTTTAAAGAAAGAACTATGAGGAAAAAAGAACCCCGTCCTTCCCAGTCCCGGCCAATTTAAAAAACACGGACCTTCCCCTCGTCCCTCTTTTCTTTTTAAGCGTGAAACAGTCCAGGGCCAGGCTTCACTGGGGCAGGGACACCCCGGGATGAGTTTCTCTGGGGCTTTATTTTGGTTTTGTCGGCTTTTTCCACGCTGGGGCTGCGGAGGGGTGGGGGGGTTTACAGTCCCGCCCCCTCGCACTGCACTGTCTCTCTGCCCCAGGGGCAGAGGGGTCTTCCCAATCCTACCCCTATTTTCGGTGATTTTTGTGTGAGAATATTAATATTAAAAATAAAATCAGAAAAAAAAAAACTCCTGTTTTGATAACGTGCTGGTGATAGCAGGGAGAGTTCTGGGAGGAGGGCCGAGAGACCAAGATTGATGGGGAGGGGCTGCGCAAACCCTGGCGAGGGTGAGCCCCTCCCCTGAGGCGCCTGTGGAATGTCCAGAGCTCAGGTCCGCTCCTCGGTGCTGGGGGTGCCTAATCCTGGAGCTGCATTCCAGGATAAGGGGGGTGGGGAGAGGCTGGGCCGGGGGAGGGGCAGGAAGGAGTGCTATAAGGGCTGTGGCCCGGGCGGGCGGGAGCCAGGCGGGATATGGCGGATGTCCCCGGGGTGCAGCGAGCGGTTCCCGGCGGCGGCCCGGAGCCCCGGGACCCCCTGGACTGCTGGGCCTGCGCTGTACTAGTCACGGCCCAGAATCTGCTGGTGGCTGCTTTCAACCTTCTCCTGCTGGCGCTGGTGCTTGGGACCATCCTGCTACCCGCTGTCACCATGCTAGGCTTCGGCTTCCTCTGCCACTCGCAGGTGAGCGTGCGCCCCGGTGTGTGCGTGTGAGTATGTCGGTGATGATGGCGGTAGGGTCCACGGGCCCCAGCATCTCCCCTCCTGGGCTGTTCGACAGGGGCTTGACGCCTCTTCTCCTCCCACAGTTCCTGCGCTCCCAGGCACCCCCTTGCACCGCGCACCTGCGGGACCCGGGCTTCACAGCCCTGCTGGTCACCGGATTCCTACTCCTCGTGCCGCTACTCGTGCTAGCCCTGGCCAGCTACCGCCGCCTCTGCCTGCGCCTCCGCCTGGCCGACTGCCTCGTGCCCTACAGCCGGGCCCTCTATCGGCGCCGCCGACCCCCGCAGCAGCGGCAAACCCGGGCCTCACCGGGATCCCAGGCCGTTCCCACATCAGGAAAGGTCTGGGTCTGAGGACCCTCGAGTCAAGAACAGTCCTGTCGATTGCCCTCCCTCCCAGCGGCCCAAGAACTTGAAGCCCCGGAGTGTCCCGACCTATCCTGCTCCTACCCCAGCCTAAACCGGGTCCTTGCATCGCCCTGGGGAAGAGGAGCGCCTGTGGACCCACGCCTGTGAAAATTCGCCGCACCCCAGAAAACCCGCTTTCCTTACCACCAGTATCCTGAACATCTGGGCTGGACCCTTCGTGCACATACACACCCCACCCCCACCTTGTGAATAGGACAACTGAACCTCGGGTCCTCTTCCAGCGCAGCTAGTATTCACAGGCTGAGGGGCGAGAAGTGACGGGGAAGGAGTGATCACCACACGTCAATAAAGAACTAATGAACTGAACTGAACGGGAGCCTGTGAACGGAGGGGGCGGCACAAATACTATCACCCCTGCCCCATGCCCAGAAGCAGGAAAGTGTGGGGGGGGGCACCGGGACATGATGCTGAAGTGCGCAGGAGGGAGCATCCTTCAACCTCCCTGTCTTCCCTTATCGCATTTGCCCGTTCTTCCTGACCAGACCCCAGAGTCCTGTCCCTGACCCCCAAAGTGACCTCTCCGTCAATAGAGTGGAGGGGGACCAGCCTCTGCCGCCTGCCCAGCTCCCCTTGGGGACCTGAGCCCGTTCTCTGACCCCAGCTTAGAGGAACTCAGTGTTGCCAGGCCGGGGAGGGAAACAATGGGCCTTCCGGAGCAGGATGACACCCCCTCCCGCCACAATTATGGAGCAGCAGCGTGGGAGGGAAGGTGGAGGGTCCCACCCGGCTGAGGCTCAGCCTGACCACATCCCCAGCCCCCACCTGAGGGAACCTCTGGTGACCCTGGACGTCCAGGTTGGGGCAGGTGGGCTGAGAATGTTGCCGACCTCAAATAAACCCTCTTCTCTAGAAGCAGACTTTGCAGTTCCCTCCCCAGCATCCCAGCTAGGTAGACACAGACACAGGCAACTTCGATTATAGGTTTAATGAAGTCTGAAGGCATGTGCGATCTTGGTCAGAGATAGGGAGGCCCCGCCAGGCTCTCTTTTTGCACCTCAATAGAAACGATGTGGTGTCCGGGTACCATAGCCAAGCCCAGCACACGGGGTTCCCCCGCAGAGAAGGAATCTGGAAAGAAGCATCAGGGAAGCAGGTCAGTGTCGGCCCCGCCCCTTTTGAGCCACTTCTAGACCCAGATAATAAGGGCAGCAAGGCACTGAAGGGGAAAGCCTTGCGTGAGGCTGGACCCAGGCGGGTGTGCATTCACTGGGCACTGACCCGACGGCTTGAGGAACTCCTGCGCTGAGCCCAGGATGACATTGCAGTCGCGGTCGGTGCAGAGGAAGCAGCCGACCAGTGTCCGTCCATCAGTCATGCGAATGCGCATAGTCTTGTTGAGCAGCGCCTCCAGCTGCTGCCGGGCGCGCGCGGCAGGCGAATCTTCGTGCTCCCCATCCGATTCCTGCGCGGGGCGGTACACGCGCTCAGAGGGCGCCACCCACGCAGCCGCTCGCCCGCGGAACCACCGCTCCCGGCAGCCCGCGGGGCGCACACGCGCGCCCAAAGACTGCCGGGAGCTGCAGTTCCCCCGCCGCCCCCCCACGTTGCTCCCTGACGGCCCCTCGATCCCAAAACCCGAGCCCGCGCTAACCCCAGCGCTGGAGCTGCTCTGACGCCGGCTGCAACAGCCATTCTCCTCTCGCAGCAGCATGGCTGGTCCGGCTCCGGCCATTTGCCTCGGGGGTTCTTCCCGGCCCTTCAACTTCTTAAGAACCTTTCGGCCACGGTGGTATGAGATCTCGCGAGCGCTGCCGACCTCTTGTCTTTCGCGAGATCACCTTCCCTCTTCCTCCTTCTCCTCCTAGTCGCCTCGGCAACTGCAGAGATCTCGCGAACTTCTTGCCCAGGGCTTGCTTCACTGAGACCTATTACGCAGGATGTCTTAAGATATCGCGAGAAATCTTACTCTAGTTTCTTACTAAGAACCCTGAATTTAGCGAGAATACCTTTTTCATAGTCGCACCGGCCCCTGCTTTTCTGCCTCCCGAAATACTCTATCCTAAATAGCCTCTGTAGCCCGCAATTAAAACTGCAAGCTTCCTTCTGGAACTTCGGAGGAACTCAATTTCTTGAATGGAGGAACCAGACTACGTTTCCCGTAAGCACTTGCGGGAAACACTGCTCCCGCCGGGTGGGCTATCAGCGGACGGTGGCCGGGAAAGGACAATGGTTTCCATGTCAGCGAATAAACGCGCTTGCCTTAGCTCCTGGACGTGAGGGAGGATGTAGTACTGAGTATCTGCTGAAGAGCAAGCAAGCAACTAAGAGAGCTGGTGACCGATAGCGCAAGAGCCATGTCTGGCCGGGGCCTAGTGGGAGGGCCAGACTTTGAGCATTTCAGGCGTCGCTTTTTCACGCCTGCCGAGGTCGCCCAACACAACCAGCCGGAGGACCTCTGGGTGTCTTACCTGGGATTCGTGTACAACTTAACGCCTTTGGCAGAGAAGTACAAGGGTAAGGGACACGCTGAGCCAGTACTGGGGTGTGTGTTTTGGGGGGAGTCTGGTTCTTGGGTAGCTGGCATTGACGACGGCTCCTCCTTCCCAGGAGACCTACTGCTGAAACCTATCGTGGAGGTTGCTGGCCAGGACATCAGCCACTGGTTTGATCCAAAGACCAGGGACGTGAGTTCTGCTAGACCCGGGGTTGGGTGGGCACTGGAGTCCTGGGATGGGGAGGAAAAGCAGGGACTAGCGAGGGCCCTAGATAGTGACTGCTCCGACTCCCGTCTTCTAAACCCCGCTTTAAAGATCCGCAAGTACATAGATCCGCTGACGGGTTCGCTGAGATACCGCACTCCGCGGGGCCGCTTTCTGCACGTCCCGCCTGAGTTGCCGCGTTCGGACTGGGCCAATGATTTCGGGACACCCTGGTGGCAGGGATTGGACTACGAGGTGGGCCAGCTCTCTGTCAAGACCCGGAACATCCGCATCATTAACACGCTCACGTCGCAGGAGCACACACTAGAGGTGAGAACTGGTGCGGGGCTGGAGTGGGGGTGTGGCGCGAGAGCCGGTTAAAGGGAACTGGAAATCCCAGCAAATCCCCAAATAGATTTTGGGGCCACCATAACCACTGGAAGCTGTAGTTCCTCCTGGTTTAGGGGCAACCGAGGAAAGCAGATCACCTAGGTCCCTCGGATTGGAAATACCGGGAGTGACTGGGTTACAGAATACAAGATACTCATTCATGAGCCCAAGGCATCTTAGTGTTGGTGGTCCTTGGAAGCTCTCATATGCTGTTTTGGCCAGCAGTTGCATTTGGATTCTCTTATTAGTCTACTCTATTGTGAGGATGAGGTGAGTGGGCAGTGGCTTTGACCCTTTAGGTCCATCTGTTAGAAGTGGCTGCCATAAAGACAGGATTTTGGAAACATTCATTGTATGCTGGAGGTCCTACTTCATTTCTGGGACCATAGAGTCTGAAGTTGCTATCTGCCAAGGGAAGTACTCTTAGCTCTATCATCTTTGGGGCTCCTGGCTTTTGCGCGCTTGCGCTTGCGTGTGTGTTCCTTCCAGGATTTTGAGGTGGGATGTTTCCATGTTCTCTAGGTGGGGGCTCTAGAATCAATGTGGGAAATCCTACACCGCTATCTCCCCTGTAATGCACATGCTGCCAGCTACACGTGGAAATATGAAGGGAAGAACCTGAACATGGATTATACCCTGGAAGAGAATGGGATCCACGATGAGGAGGAAGACTTTGACTTTCTCAATATGGACGGTACACTCTACACACCTGCAATATTGCTTTACTTCAATGATGACCTTACAGAGCTATAGGAAAGGAGATGTATGCTCATGTAGATTCAAGATCTGTTTTGAGTTTGGCTGTTTCTGTATCCTGTAGGGAAAAGATGGGAATGGGTAAGGGGGGTGCCTAGACCTAGACCTTCATTCCACTGGGAACTGGCCTGCAGTTCCCATGCTTCGCTGAAGTGTAAGGCCCTGTTCCCCAGGTCCATTTTAATTGCTCTGAGAAAGTTAGGGAGAATGCTAGAAGTGAGTGAATTTTTAGGAATGATATAGGAAAATGAAGTATCTTGGATTAGAGAGATATAGAAGATATAGCTCAGGCAGAACTTTTTGATAGTAAAAGAGAAACTCGGCACAGGCATGAGGGATAGAAGAATCTTTTTAGTAAAGATGGAAATGGAATGGCTGCAGGAAGATGGGATTTGCAAAGAAAGGAATAGGAAATGTCTGTTACTGGCCATACAAAACTGACTTAATTCCCTTTGAATAATATCTGGCAACTAAAACCCAAGGGGAAGAAAAGAAGTGAATGGTTACCAGGGAAATCAGACTAGATATTATGCTATATACTTTTTACATCCTGTTTACTACAACTACCCCATAGGATGGATACCATTACCGCTATTTTACAGATAAGTCTTCTGAAGCTTGGCAAGATTTAATAGCACAAAGGCACACTAGCTAGTGATTAAGTCTACCTAATTCTAAAGTCCATGTTCTTTTCAATGTAAAGAGACTCTCTCAGTGTCTAATCTCATGCTAAGTATTTGTAACCACTGCTGCTCAGAACAGATGTTTGGGATGTGGGTTTGCCCTGGCCTTGCTGCACAGTGGGAACCACAGGCCCTTTGTGTAGTCAAATCATTCTTTCTGCAGTTATCATCTGCATAACTCCCTTCCAAAGGAAGGGAAGAGAGGTGGCAAGGAAGGCTAAGTGTTAGCTGAGCAATAGATAGTTGCTATGTCTACTTCGTGGTTGATTCCATAGCAAAATGTTTCTTCTGACTTTTTTGAGACAAAGAAGTGGGTGGGTATTTACTGACTCCAGGAAAAACTAGGATGAGGAGACAGCGTTAAGACTGGGACACTTGGGCGAGGGAGCAAAAAGAAAGCAAATTGTACAGTATATTCAAGATGAGCCATGTCTCTTAGGGAAGGTAAGGATGACAGGGTGACTTCGCAAGATGGTGACTCTATATGAGGGGGCTTTACAGGGGTAAGGAGCCAAATAAGTCAGAAAACTGGTGATTAAAGAACCATCAATTTGGGGGTGGGGGCAGTGGCCAGGTGATCCTCTTTAACTTAAACATGGGAAGGCAATGAAAATAACTGGCAGATAAACTTCCTGATAGTAGCAGGCAAGAACAAATTAGGCAGAGGTTAGGGCATCTTCCTGGGAGGTGGTCCCTTTGTGACACTGGGTGGTCTGCAGAGAAGTTTTCTGAGGAGTTGACTATGAAAGACATGGACAAAGATGGAGACATCTATATTGGCTTCAGCAATATCACATCTCACTTCTCAGAGCTTCCAAACAGTCCCACGTAATGCAAAGGTCCATGAATTACCTGCATCATTTTGATATTTAATTATTTCATGTGCATCTTGTTTGCTCAGTTGAGCCCTAAATGATTTGAGAACCAAAGCTCTGCTATTGCCATAGTACCAGCCTCATAGCCTGTGCCTATGGGATCTGCCCAGACCTGTCCTTTTCCCAGAATCTCCTACATTAGCACCTCTTGCCAGAAACATACTCATCTCCTTACACATTCAACCACTCTTTAAGTAGCTTCTTTCTTTTAAATATCTCTGGAGCTTGTCTTCTTTTCTCTAAGCTGTCATCACCTCTTGTCTAGACCTTTGTGGAAACTTCCTAAATCCGTTCATTTCCACTTCTGTCCAAACACAGCAGAGTGAGCTCTGAAAAAACAAATCTCACTGACTTTCCTCCTTCAGATTATTCAGTGGCTTCCAGTCCTAAATTCAGTCCTTGCATACATCAGCCTGTCTACCTTGCATATCTCATCTTGCATCACTCCTTTGTTACCTGTGTTCCAGCCCCCTAACTGGCTTTCAGTTTGTTAAATGTTGTCTTACCTCAGAGCCATAAAGACTGTTCTCTCTGCTTGCAACACCTAGCTCTTCCTCTGGGAGATCTTTTCTGACTTCTTTGTGGTCAAAACTTTCAGTTAGTTATATTGTCACTTACAAACTTTCAATTATATCAACACTGTAAATATTTGGGAGTAATTATAGTTTTTAAATGATGGATGTAATTAGTTGGCTGGCTTCTAGATTGTAAGCTCATGAGGGCAGATGGTGTCCAACTTGTTCATTGCTGTACTCCCAGTGTTGGGTGCAGGCACACAGTTGCTGCTCAATAAATTTTCACTGAATGAAGTCAATGTTAAGTGAATTCATCTATCTATAAAAACTAGTAGATGGGATGTTGTGTGCTGGGAGGCAAGGTGGAACCAATAAATAGGACACTTGAATCCCATGCTGCAATATCTATCCATACATTTTACTTGCTCACCATAGATCCAAGACCAAAAACTCCTTATGTTCTTCCTCTCAGCAGAGGTTTTGGGGGCAAACTGCCAGTCATTTCCTCTTATGGCCACGAGGGGGCTGTAATCGCCTACAGAGTCAGGCCTGGAAAAGGGAAAACAAGTTCTAAAGAGGTTAGAATTAAAGATGATCCTGTGGAAATTATAGGTGGGAGGGAAGGATAAGAAAAAAACAAACCAAAACCCCCCCCCACATGGCTACTATTCTATTATCATTTAGGTTTATTCTTTTCTGTTTGTTCTTTTCTTTCCCCAGGAGCACATGCCAGGAAAGGGGGGTGATTTGAGAAATGAAATCATGGGCTATGACTAGTAGGGGGTCTGATTACAGGTGTGGGTGTGTATGGGGCGAGGCACAAAGCTGTGGAAGGAACAAGTACCATACATTTTTAAGATAAGAGAAAGGGTGACCCTTGAACATGAGTTTAAACTGTATGGATTTTTTAATAAACAGGGAACTTCAACCTATAGTAACAATAAATACAGAACAGTATTATAAATATTTTCACTTGATATTTCCTTAACACTTGCTTTTATCTAGCTTACTTTATTATAAAGGATACATTATATCATACATACAAAAAGTATGTGAAATCAACTGTTTGTTAATTGGTAAGGCATCCAGTCAATACCAGGCTATTACTATATTTGACCTTTGAACAAAGCAGGGGTTGGGGGACCAATTCCCTGCAGTCAAAAATCTGTGTATAATTCGACTCCTCAGAAACTTAACTACAATGGTCCCTGGGTTTCTCTGGGGGATTGCTTACAGGAACCAGTTATCAAGATCCACAGGTACTCAGGGCCCTTGTAATCAGGGTTTCATATGCAGATTCCACATCCAGTTGAAGCTGCGCATGTTGAACCCATAGGAATGGAGGGCCAGTTGTATTTATTGAAAAATAAATAAGTGTATAAGTGGATGTGTGGAGTTCAAACTTAATACTGTTAAGAGTCAACTGTAGTCTTGGGGCCATCAATACAAGGAATCTTACTGTGTGGGATTTTGGTGCCCCTAATCCCCATGTTGTTCAAAGGTCAACTGTACATTAATTTATTTTAAAAATAAATTTGCTATCAATTTTTTTTTCTTTTTTGGTATAAAGCTTTCTATTATGTGCTACCTTGTTCTCTAACTATTTAAGACTGGATATTTGCATGAGGAGTATGGAAATAACACTGAGGCCTAAAACCTAGAAAGCAAATAGTATGTAAGTGGATGGAAGGGTCCAAGTCCTCTTGTGATGATCTTAATTTTCGAAGGAGGTGGGGTGAAGATTGGGGTAATGAAAGAAAAGCTGCTTGTCCTCAATAAATCAGCAGTTTCAAAGGATTCAGCTGGCAAGTAATTTCCACAAAGCTGAGTCCTATATGCACATAATCATTGGGGATACTACAGAGTTCCTTGCAGGAAGCATACCTGCTGAATGGGAAAAAGCATATACATATGGAAAAAGTAAATGTAAAAAGTACATGATAAAGGACCAAATTATGGTACAGAAAGTTTCCACCCTCATGGCAAACTACAGGTGGATTCTTAACCTGGACCTCCAGAAATGGTTTCTCAATATTTTCTGTGAACATGTATGCAGATGTTTATTATTTTGGAGAAAGGTGCTGTAGTTTCTATGAGTCTCAAAGTGGTCTAACCCCTGCCCCTCAAACAGAACACACACATACCCACTAACTTATAGACCCTTAAAATATCAAAGGTGACAGTCTAATGTAGTACCAGGATTCCTGGCACCTAATGGTCTGCTTCAATCTGTTACACTCATGTTGCCACTACAGAAATTCCAAAGGCTTTATCCCTGGGGTTGAGTTTAATGGCAACATTTTATTATTCTCCTAAATTCTGATCTGGTTGTACCTTGGAGCTGAGTCAGAGGATCTATTATGTGGACTTAGGACCATAACACCCAGTCATGACATCAAGAAAAGGTAATGCACTGAGCCTCACAGCTGAGTTTTGGTAAACCACAAAGATAGCTTGATAGTGGGAGAACAGCCACTTTATGCTGGATTAGGAAAGGCACATGGGAGTTTAGCAGTAGAGAAAGCAGTGGTAGAGAAAACTGGAAACTGGAAAGATCTTGGAAGTCAAAGATTAGGAATTCAAAACACAAATATATATGCAGCCCAAGCGCACGGTGAATGAGAAAGTGAAGTGAAACAAACAGGGTCAGGAGTAAAGAAGCTGAGATAAGGAGCAAGATGGAAGTAAGAATCTTAGTTTCTCTCTTACTGGGAGCGGCTCAACACTTGCTCTTTGGGAGCTTCGTGTTAGTGGGAAGTTGGGCATCCAGCTTCAGTCATCTCTGTATCCCCCAACAGCAGCATATGCTTGGCATAGAGTGGCAACAGATACAGGCTTGTTTCAGGAAAGAATTGTACATGTAATCCCCACTATTTGAAATGTCTGAACTCAGGAACCAAATAGGTTCAGATGTTAATGTGGTTGTCTCTTGCTACTTGCCTGATCTCAATATTTGAAGAGTTGATCTGGATAGTGACATATGTACTGATAAATTCTTCCAGTCCTCCTATAGAGTAGTAAGGAAGATGAAATATGTAACTTGCCTTTAATGAACAGCCTAGAGGGGTAAATATACCCTGTAATAGTGTATCCATTGAGAACTATTGGGCTGCAAGTAACAGAAGCTTGACTGCGGGGCTGGGTGGGCATAGGTAAGTCCAAAAGGTTAATTTTTCTCACAGAAGAGTGTGTGATGTTGTGACTCTACTAGATAGGTCATCGATGTGGCAGGTAGCTCCTATTTCCCCATTTTTGTCCTCATGTTTATCACCTTTTTGGCTGCTTTATTTTTAGCCGGCATAGTGGGCAAGGAGGAGGAAAAGGTGAAGGAAGAAAGGGCAGTGCCTCTATCAGACATTCTTAGCAGAACACTGCGTACGTCTCATTGATGGGAAACGCATCACACAATGACCCTTCATTGCCTGAGAGTCTTGGTCAGTGAATATTTTATGTTCACAACAAAGGCAAGACTACTACTGGAAAGAGAGTAGTGTGAAAGTGCTGTTCATCCATCCATTAACCAAAGCTATCAAGCACTTTGTGCCAGGCACTGTTTCAGGTATTGGGGGTAGAGCAGTGATTAATACAGGCAAGGTCTCTGCTTGGGACTCATACTTTGGTGGAATAAATAATAAACAAACAAGATCATTTCAGATATTATTAAAAGCTGTGTAAATATACACATACATATATATATATACATACACATATATTAAAAGTACAATAGAGAAACAATCACGAGAGTAACGAAACAATGATAAGAGGCTGCCAGAGATGATCACAAAGACTGATCTGTATTACCTGCAGGTCTGCTTTTACCTGCATTCATCACTTAATTCTCACAATGAACTTAAATACTGTTTTTATTTACACTGAAAAAAAGGAAACTGAAAAACAGAGAAGTTCAGTACTTTGCTAAAAGTCATAGACTACCCACTCACCCAGTGACTTGTACCACCTCCAGGCATGACAGACATAGGATGCTGTTCCAGTTACCTATCACTGCTTAATAAGACATCCCAAACTTAAGTGGCTTAAAAAAAACCCATTATTTATTTTGCTAATGAATGTATAATTTGGGCTGGGTTTAGGGTGGGACAACTCATTTCCACTCCAGAAGGTATCAAGTAGCTGGACTGCTGGGAGCTGGAGGATTCATTTCCAAATGTCTCACTTAACATGTCTGGCAAGTTGATAGCAGCTGTTAGTTCTCCATGAGGGCCTCTACGCAAGCAGCTTGTTCCCTCATAGCATGGTCAGGTGGTCATAGCATGATGGTCAGGTCCCAAAAGCAAGTATCCTAAGAGACGAGAAGGAAACCTTTTGTGACCTGGCTTCAAATCCAAAGATAGGGAACCTGATTGCACTTCTCAGTGTCAAAATCATATTGTAATAAGAGCATGTTGGTGATGATATTATTATGGAAAATACAATCTACCTCAGATGTCCTGGAGACAAAAGGAAGGATATCTGACCCAGTCTTGGGTGGGAGTATGGAGGTGAACTTTGAAGGGTTGTCTGGGGGGACAGGGCAGGAGTGTGTGTTGATACCTGACCTGACGCTTTCTTGAAACCTAAATAGGAATCATGGCCTCACTATCCATGTATTCACTTCATTGACAGTATTGTGCATCTGCTATGTGTCAGGCACAGTGCTGGTTGTTATGGGTTTTTTTTCAAGATTTATTTTTATGTACTTATGCATATAAGAACTGGGGCACAGGCCAGAGGTGCAGGGGGTGAAAGGATTCACCAGAGACAGAGTGGGGAGCAGAACAGGCAGAGCTACTGAAATAACACTGCTGAGGGGAGCAGTGGGCGAGACAGGAGAGGTCTGCTGCGCCATGTGGGTCACCTCCCTGGCTGGGGATCGAACTCGTGCTGCAGTGGCTGGTGATAGCTTGATAGCGCTGAGACTCAACCCCTGTACCACCAAGACATAAATCTTGCTCCTACGGAACTTAATGTTTAGTGAGTTTCAGAAAAGTTTGTGAGCAAAGATCTTGTCATCCTGCTTCCACTTGTATACAAAAGCCAAGGAAAGCTTTTAAAGTCTTCAAAGTCTTCTTGCTCCTCTTAAGAGGAAGTAGGACACCTCACCATCATCCATAAGGTCCTACATGATTTGGCTCTTCTAGGTTCTTGTCTTCCATGGTAATTTCCTAGTTTCTGAATTCCCCCAAGTTCCTTTCTATCAAGTCCTTCTCACAGGCTGTTCCTCTCCAAGCAACATCCCACTCACCAATCAGGGTTTGGACAACTCCTACTTTTAAGTATCTGCTTAAATTTTACTTTCTCAGAGATGTCTTCCCCGATCCGTTCAATTATGTCAAATTTTTTATCACTTCTAAGGGTGTCCTGAACATCATTATACAGTTAAAGTGTTTAATATAATTCACTGTGTAAGGTCCATCATCCTCCCTTATTAAACTACAACTCCAGAAAGGTAGGGAGCACATTTCTTATTTGCCACTGAACATTCAGCCATTAGCCCAGTGTTTAGCTCAGAGCAGATAATCAATATTCATAAAATGAACAAATAGGATGTTACAAAAGGGCTAAATATGGAAAGCCTCAGGAACACCTAAATCCAGTCTAGGGAGACCAAGGAGGGCTCTCTGAAGGAGTGTCACCCCAAGCTGAGACCAAGGGACAAAGAGGAGCTAGCCAGATAAAAAGGAAGGCGAGGGTGAGGGGTCAGTGGAATGCTTCCCACAAAGAATAAACAGCATAACTAGTACAGTTTAAAGATAAGAGAATATGTGGAGGGCTCAGATGCAGAAGGAAGTGCGACAAAAAAAGCTAAGAGGAGATGGGAGGCAAAGGAAGAACAGGTAATGAGGAGGTGAGCTCAGACCAGGTCATGTGAGACTTAACAAACCAGGTTAAGCTCTTTTTTTCATTGAGATATAATCCACAAACTATAAAATCCACCAGCTTAAGGTATATAATTCAGGGTTAAGGCCTCCCTGGTGGTGCAGGGGTTAAAGTCAGTGCTATAAAGCTATCGCCAGCCACTTCAGCACAAGTTTGATCCCTGGCCAGGGAGCTCACCCACATGGCACAGTAGACCTCTCCTGTCTCATCCGCAGCTCCCCTCAGCAGTGTATTTCAGTCAGTCTGCCTGTTCTGCTCCCCACTCTGTCTCTGTTGAATCCTCTCACCTCCCACACCTCTGGCCAACACCCCAGTTCTTGCTTGCATAAATAAAAATAAATCTTAAAAAAAAGAATTTTATAGGGAGAAAGTATGCTCAAATTTGCATTTTTAAAAGGTGACTTGACTACAATGTTAAGAGAAAAAGGATCGGAGAGGGAAAGAAAAGTGGTGCGGTAGTCCAGAAGAGAGATGAAGGTAGCTGGAATTAAGTTAGTGGCAGGGGAGATGAGAGAAGATAAACTGAAGCGAAAAGAGATGTGTACAACTTGTTAATTTACTGGTGGAGGCAGAGAGGGGGGTCAGTGACGAACTCAAGTTTCTAGCGAGGGTGACTGAAGGGCTGATGAATCCACTGATGGAAAAGGGGGGTGTTAGAAGAGGAATTTGGGGAGGAAGGCAATGGATATTTAGTCAGCTGTATGAAGTAATTTTAAGGCATGTAAAGATCTTAGTGGATGTATGTGACTAGATCCGGAAGAAAACTCAAGGGAAGAGTGATTGGTGGGGGGAGTTATCAGAGAGCAAGTGCTGCCAAAGTCAAAATGAGATCACTGCAAGAATGGCAGGAGGTTTAAGTGGAGGATCTGGGAGGAACAGTATCTAAGAGAGGAAGGAAGAGGAAACTCAGAAGGAAGAGCCAGATGTATGAGATAGACCCAGGGAAATGGTGCCATGGAAGCCAAGAGACAATGTTTGAAAGGAGGGAGTGGTAAAGAGTGTGAAATGTTATGTTACATAAGTTTGAAGTAAGACTTCTATGTAATTAGCAAAGAGCAAAAGTGAGTATCAGAGAAGTCAGGTTGCAGTTAGACAAGGCATACATAGAATATTTGTAGAAGAAATTCAACTGACTTTGAATTTTCTGACTTTGTAACCATGCAAAAATACTTTCCTTCCTTTAGGTTCCATTTCTTGAACCACAAAATATATAGAAGAAACATGTTACTAAAGACAACAAGCATAAGTCAGGACTTAGTCACTCTAAATAGAAGCTACCTTAATGTGTTACTGAAAATAAGTGAGATAAGGTATGGGAAAATGCTTGCAGTGCTTGGACTAAGGACTCAAAAATTTATTTTCTTGTCCTTTCCTTGTGCTAGCCACTATGGGTAATGAATGCTTCCCTTGAGATCACCTGAGTTTTTACATTATTCAGCATCTGGTTACATCTGTCATGATTAGAAAATTATTAGACCATATATGTGTCTAACATTTGGCTTCCAATCTAACAATGTTTATGCCGCCATTAGGAGACCCGAGTCCAGTTAAACATGGTTTCATATCATGGCGGAATTGTGCTTATTTATATAAAACGGGAAAACGAGAATATAATATCAACTATTGAGAGCAAGAATAACTAAAGTCATACCTTTGTTCCTTCAGTTTAAGGTGCTATTCATAACTCAAATCATAAATCTCTCACCCCGCAATCATCTTAAGTGAATCTCCCTGATGTAAGAAATGGCTAATAGTAAACTTGATTGTTTAGAATTGCTACCAATCACCAAGTACATTACAGTCAACGCTTTATGCAATCCTCATTACAATTACACAGGGTAGGCAATAATATTCATTTTACGACGGGAGCTGAGACTTGAAAGGTAAGTAGCTCACCCAGGGCCACTGTTAGTTAAGTGGCTGAACTTGGGTTCCAGGTACCAACTGACTCCAAAACTCAAATTCTTTCTCTAATGGAGGAAGGAGATAACTTCATTTCTTGGCTCTAGATTACACTTTCGAGTTAAGAGTTTTGCAATATAGAATCTTTTTGAAAAATTAGTTGATTTTTTACTAATAACATCTAATTTAGTATGAAATTAAAGTGACTATCCTTGTACAGAGCTGAATAGAGAAAGGGTGCAAGAGCAAGTGAAGGGGCAGGAGGAAGCCAGTGTGGGCTAAGCACTAACCACAACAAATCTATGACTTGACAGATAGTTAATCAGTCGGGAAAACTGTCAGGGCAATACTGCTAAAACAACTAGGACTTGACATGAAATGGAAAACAAGGTATTTTGTGAGGGCAGTTAATGGAAAGCTATTAAATTGCTAAAAGGCAATGTCAAAAGGAAAAGATGTTTGGTTTTTGATGTTTTGTTTAGGATGGTTATATTTTGTTTCCATTCTAGTGGTTAATCAAAGCAGGTCTTAGAGAAACTGTAAGCAAAGATGACAATTTTGGGTTTATGTCCTCCTCTTCTTAAAAGTATCCTCTTTACTCAATGAAGAACAAGGGAAAGGATTTAACTAAAAACAGCAATAAAAGGATGAGAGATTTGAGTTCATAGAAAGCAAGCAAAGACTTTTTCAAGAAAGGGGTGGTCAAGTTAAAATTTCAGAAATATCCTCTGTGTTAGTAACCTGGAGGTTGTTAGGAATTTGGTGAAAGCAGTTTAATGGGGCAGAGCTGGAAAATGAGTAGGCAAGTTAACAGTGAGCATAGATAATACTTTCAAAAAGTATGACTGTGAATGAGCACAGCTAGGTATGGTGGCAGCTAAAGGGTTCTACAGTATCTTTTGTGAAAATAGGCAGATGTGAGCACATTTAAATGTGGTTGGGAAGAAGCAAGTAAAGATAAAGGAGTTAGGAGATCACTGTTAGTCATTAGTTCCTGAGAAGGTGGCAGGGCTGGAGTCAGAGTTCAAGTGTAGGGATTAACTTCAACTAGGAGAGGAAGAAGGAAGGAGAAAAGGACAAACCCAGGGTTATGAGGGCCACAGTTAGGCTCAGTGTCAGTATTTCACAGGAGTTCTCATCAGATGATCTCTCTTGTGGAAGTAGATGACAGAAGGTTTGAGAAGTGTGAGGAAGGTATGAAAAAGCATGGGGAACTAAAAGGTAAGTGACTCAGAAAAAGCCTTTTTGAACAGGGACACTGGTCTGAAAAGTCATGGTGTTTTCTTCAGGAGCACTTTGAATTTTGGTTTTTGTTTTTAAGATTTATTTATTTATGCATACAAGAGCTGGGGTACAGGCCAGAGGTGTGGGGGGGTGAGCGGATTCACCAGAGACAGAGTGGGGAATAGAACAGGCAGATTGACTGAAGTACACTGCTGTGGGGAGCAGCGGGCGAGTCAGGAGAGGTCTGCTGCGCCATGTGGGGTGCTCCCTGGCTGGCCGGGGATCGAACTTGTGCTG